ATGTCACATTTGAAGTGCATCCACAATATACAGATTAGTATAATTTTATGTAACATCTCGCAGTATTGTCCCGAGTAGTATAAATCGATCAGACAGATCAACCGAGATATCCAGCAAGCTATTTGAAGAATTCTCGTGCTCGTGGCGACCTTAGAAGGTCTTCTCGCGACTGTGTCGGCTGCCCATTATTTTCTCTCTCGCTTTTATCCCTCTTTTCTACCTCCCACTACCTATCTGATATTAGATCTGCAATGCAATCCGAGCTCCGGAGCAGTTACACCGTTCAGACGGTATTCTAATGTAGCCGGTATTCCTGGATAGGGTTTCGTAATGCTGCTCTGGATTCTGATCTCGCCGGATTTTGTGACCTCTTAATTTTATGGTGTATCAAACGCAGTCGCGCTGAGTTCGCCATAGCAGGGCACAATAATAAACGTGCAACATTTTAAAGCTGGCATACCTGCAACGTATTCGGTTCCCCTTGTATACTTGTTACACTAGAATTTTTTCTGCTGCCTATTATCTTTACTGCTTCGACGTATGGACATTTAGAAATGACGCAGGCTTCATGGTTTATATTTCCGCAGGAATTTATCTCGGCATTGAGTCTAGTTAGAATACGAGATATCTTACTATAGGCGGTATGCACAATGTTGATGACTGTGCATTCTACGCGGGAAAGTAATTGACAGGGTAGAAGATTTCTTTCACGCATGAGATAGGTAATGTTGGGTAGAAGCATTGTGAAATTTTTGAAGATATGTGAAACATTTATATGTTTCATATGTCCATATAATAATCATATTTTCCTATATTCATACATGTACTGATATAATAAACATATATGTTTCAGACTGCGATACATATCATTACCCATAAACATTGTGGAATTGAGATTTGTACTTTAATATGTGATAATAATTTTTCTTGTGTTTTTAACTGTTGATTTGTGTATTTTACTCAGATTGGAAATTGACAGTGCAGCATATCGTTTCTTTCAAACATGAAATAGGTAGACTGCAATGTTGGCCATAAGCATTGTGGAATTTTTGAAGATACGTGAAACATTTATATGTTTCATATGTCCATATAATAATCATGTATTCGTATATTCATACATGCATTGATACAATAAACATATATGTTTCAGACTGGAATACACAACATAGGCCATAAACATTGTGGAATTGAGATTTGTAATTTAATATGTGATAATAATTCGAAGTCTTGCAATTGTACATCGACTTAACGAATAATTGCAACAGACTTTTGAAACGATTGTCAAATTGCAATTCTTAAAAAAGTGAAACCCGGACATTTACAGGAGCATTAATACGTGACAAGAAATTTTAACGAACCAATCGTTGGTGTATTGTTCACGAAGTAGTTGACCGTTTGCTCCCATTCATCTATGAAACTTATCATTATCTCATCAAGCAAGTAATTACGCGAGACGAGAACGATGAAGTGGAAAGGAGAAAGAGATGGAGCTAAATGGTTAACTGTAGTCCAACTCATTAGAAGTCGAGCGTGTTTGGATATACAGTGGGTGATCAAATTACTATGGTCGAACGAAACAAATCATGTATTTTATGTTTTCGGTGGTATCATACTTCCAATAATATAGGTACTTCGCAATAGGAAAATAACACGCTTTAGTAGTTTAATAATTGTATAATTACTACACAATAAATTTGAGTACCTTCTATTTTCAACAATTTTATTGTATCGTAAAATCTATTAGCTCTATTATTCGTTCTGTGTCGGTGAAAGTAGACCTAACAATTATATTGCAAAATTATCTGTACTTATCAAAATTTTATTATACTCGACAAACTGCTTTTATTACGAAATGAGGGCATGCGTGGTATTTATGTAAAATTGTCTGAGTTGAAGTTAGAAATTCGAAAGTTTTCAATGTTTTGAAAATTTAGGTACTTCCGAATATGAGAGGACTAAAATTTATAAGTTTGAGAATTTGGAGATTTAGAAAAGATATTTAACGATATGGAAAATTTTGCTATTTGACAACGTGAAGATCTAGAAATTTGTAAACTCGAAGATTTGAAAATTAAAATTTTTGAAGATTGAAAAGGTTGATAACTTAAAAACTATAAAATTTGGAAATTTGTAAATACTCAAATATAAAAACTTTAGGATTGAACAATTTTCAAATTCACGTATTTAATCCTCAATAATCACGAAAACATACTACTTAACTGCATAAATTATTTTCATCTAATATATTGCACTTAAGTACATCACCAGTGCCGCATATCATAAAAATACTTGTGTTTACATTTTTTATCATACAATTACACAATCTAACTACATTTCAACATATCATAAACCCTTATTCAACGACAAACAAATTAATAAGTAACAATTTATTTTCTGTAACAAAAACGACTATGTCTGTAACATAAAAGGATAAAACTATTACTTACCCGGCTTATTAAAATTCTAATGAATGTACGGTAGTAATGATGCCTTGAAAAACGAACGAGTAGAATGTCAAGAAAGAAAAGTCACGATCTCTGTCAGTAACTCGAAGTCATTACGAGCTCAACCGACCAGTATATATACGATGTTAACCTCATGCCAATTGCTGTTGATCTATTAAATTATAAGTGGCTAACCTCCGCTAATTACTTTACCATTCGTGATCTCGTGCAGACAGATGGACACAAGTTACAGTACTTCTGATTTCGGATTCATCTCGGAAGTTATGAAGGTATAATTTGCGTTTCATGCATTTTAAGTGCAAAAAAATGGAGGTAAATGTTGTATTGGAGATAGGAAATAACATATTGTTTCTTCTTATTGATATGTGTGCATGTCAACCTACGAGTTGGCGCGTGATCGACCTATAGTAAAAGAAAATTTATCTATACCGTGAACACTTCTCGTGCTACATTTCGGCAAATAAGAATAATAATGACAGTAATAACTAATGAACGCAAATAGCTCTATCTCACTCACTTGAGAGACGTTTGCCGACTGTCATTGTTTTTAGCCTAATTGGTGACTGCTCGAGCCAATACCACCGTCGTAAATTCGTGTGAGGCGTCCATTTTTCTATCCTGACCAATTGGAGTCGTGTCTGTTTGGGGATGTAGCGATTTGGGGACATAACGATTTGAGGATGTAGGAATTTGGGGACATAGCGATTTAGGAATGCACCAATTTGGGGATGTAGCGATTTGGGGACATAGGAATTTGGGGACGTAGCAATTTTGGGATGTAGGAATTTGTGGATAAAGCGATTTGGATATGTAAGAATTTGGGAATATAGGGATTTAAGAATGGAGAAATTTGGGAATCTACCGATTTGGTGACGTAACGATTTGGGGATGTACCGATTTAGGAATACACCGATTTGGGGATGTATGGATTTGGGGATATACCGATTTGAGCATGTATGAATTTGAGAATATACCAATTTGCGGCTCAAGTAATTTGGATATGTAAGAATTTAGGAACACAGGGATTTGGGAATGAAGTAATTTTTCTATTTTGACCAATTAGAGCCATAGTTGCTCTAAGGACCTACATCAGCCTCTTCACGCACCAACTCGTGAGATAACATCAATATATTACATCGTATATCTTGCTATTTGAATATAGACACCCACTATTTTTATCGTATGACGTTTTCTCCGGGAAATATTAAGATTATGGCAACTTTACAAGGTTAATTACTTAATTCTTTCGATTTTGACATAGTTTTAAAATTGTTTTATAAACTGTTATTAAATTGAATAATTATACATGAGCAGTGAACGAAAATGATATAGTGAAGTATGTAATTTTAAAAAATATAAGGAATGAAGTCCTCTGTCTGAAGAATTAAATGTCCAACTTTTATTTCATGTTTGTCTACAAAGATCCAATAATAGTACCATTCATTTTATCAATTAAAATTCTTGTTTTCATTAATTTTCAGTTTACAAAAATTATAACCTTCAAACATCCATTCAATACAATTCAATCGCTCTAATTTCTCATATTCAGTTTACCTTTCTAACTTTATTAACTTCAAATTACAGAACTCGTATATCAACCGTATCTTAAGGTCACGATTAGTTGACTACCGTTATAGTTAAATACTATTAAGGTTAAAATTTACGGAGAAATTACTATCTTCATGGACGTCATATTATCAAGTAACTCTTACCTATGGCTGGACAGCAATCCACTTTTATGTCGTGTAGAAGAAAGAAACGAGCATATTACAGAACGTAAAAAGGGAAATAATTGCAAATTTTATCCGTGTTGGTGTAGCACTAAATTATAGTCTACACTATAGCCGATCCAGGACTAATCAGGATATCACTATTATTATAGTCTATTCTGACTTATATAAAACTTCTTTTATCTTTTTCAAATAAAAATGTGTTAATCGTTTATTGAAAGAACTTCCTGGGTAATGAAGGTTGGTTAGAAAGAGATCAGACGATGTAAGTTAACAGGAATTTTAGACCTTTTATCATTCATTTCCTATGGTGTCTACCTGCAGAAGTTAAGTGGAAGATGGCAGTTGCTTCATAATTGCCTGTATTTGGGGCTCTACGAGAGGAAAGGTAGAATTATCTAATATCAATTATACATGTACTCTTGTTTATTGTTTCGTTGCTTATATGACTGCAATTTGCAAATACAGAAAATAACCAGTATTCAAATAATAAGGAAGCATGAAAATACATTTTAAAATTACTTGTTCAAATATTATAGTAAAAGGAAGTCGTATTCTTAATCTGTGAGTGACTAATCTTTCTATAATATAACATTTAAATTAACTTCGGTTATACAAACGCAAGAATAATACTTAGTCGAAATATCAATGTGAGTGAGTGTACCTCCATGTGGACAGTACGGTAACCTTCCACGACAATGAGTATCTTATCGAAAGATCTACGGGTTAGCGGCAAGATAATGCAACGTGCAGTGTTTAAGATGGTAGTGGTATTATAAAACCGAATCAGAGAAGGCGGAGTCACCTGTAAAATGTCGGCACAATGCTCGGCCATGTCACAGGTGTCTCGTCGTGAAAGTCCACCAGGAGTACTTGAGTTGGTATCCTCGGCTAAGGAACCCACGTATCCAGACAATGAGTAAAGACCCATTAGATCCACTGGACACATTGTAATTGAGCTTGACGATTCAATGCGATATTAGTCGTTAATTTATTCGCATCCAGGGAGTTCCCTGTCTGAATTAACTTTGACGAGAGCAAGAACCAGAATCAGATAAACGAGCAGATTGCTAGACTCGAGCAGCTAATGTGAGTCGCGATGGTCTTTCTGTTCTACTTCCTTGTGGGTGAAAATAGAATTTTATGCGAGGGAACAAATTTTGGTTCTCGTGGTATACTTTTTCTTCAATTTTAGTCACTAATAGGAATTTAGAGAGGTTTAAAGAATGTGCTTATTTGTTGCTTTATGATACAATGATCTTGTTGTTTAGAAGTTTAGAGTGCATTATTGTTTTTCTCGAAACACTCCACAACATTCATAAATACCTACGTCCCTAAATTCTTACACATACCCGAATTCCTAGATTTTTAAATTCCTAAATTCTCATATACTAAAATCTCCAAATCTCAAAGTCCACAAATATCTATGTCCTTCAATTTCTACATTCCCAAATTCCCAGATCCTCAATTCCCTAAAGCCACACATTTTTACATCCCCAAATTCTCAAATCTGCTAACTATCATTCTCAAATTCATACATCCCAAAATTCCTCAATTTCCAAAACAAACCCCAAGTCTCCCAACTTTCTATACCTTTTAATTCCAAAAGTTTATTTCGCATATTCCTAAAAATTTACCAGTAACAGTCTTCTCCCTCGGTCGCCGTGTTTTCCGTAGGAAAGCTTTGCTCTCGACTGTACGTCCACACTCGGCGCCACCGTTGCATTCAAGCGGTCACCAACCCTGAGCGACTGAAACTTCGGCATGACGTTATCCGAATAAATCAAGAATATGACAAGTTCGAAATAAAATGACGAAAAAGGAACGAAAGAGGTACCGTTAGAGCAGCTGGTGGTTGACACATTCCGGCAGAAGCAGTCGGGCGGTCTTCGGCAGCAAAGATACTACGAGTCCGATACGCACCGGGCGACGTAATAGCAACGAATGAATCACGTTCTTGTAGGAAGTGACCGGCCGGTGAAAATGTCCGGTTTAGACAAAGGCTCGCGGCAACGTGACTGCACTCTTTGTAGTCACGCTAACGAAGAGGGTCGAGGCGATAGACGATCTCAACACGGCTGGAATGTTTCGTCTGGCATCGAGCATCGCATCTGCCATTAGCATTCGAGCCCTCGTAGCCTCGATGGTGCGACGTTCGCTGTTAGATTCGATGCTGGCCAGCAACGTCGTGCACGATTCCATCAAAAGTCCGCGGTACCAGTTGATCAGGATGCGCTCGTCCACCTTGGTCATTTATCTTACCACTCGTAACGGCGCCACAGTCTGATTTTAGCAATCTAACTGAACATCGATTTTGTTGTTTACTATCTTCTGGAATATTTTGTGTCTACAATAATGGACGTATATGCATTTAACAACATAAATTGACAGAACGTAAACGAATGCTAAAATTCAGCGTGTATACACCCTATCTGTTAGATTAAACAGCTAATGATTACATAGTCTGATATTTTATTGATCTAACAAACCTTAGATTTCATTAATGTCTACAATCTTTTTGAACATTGTTTAGAAGTCCTTGGAATAATCTCTTTGATCATTAATGTGGATTAATGATCAGTTGGACTTCACTGACTCAAGTTTGGAACACTATCATTTTATTTTAGCAATGTAGAAAAGAGTGATATCATAAAGAGTGAAATCATTAAATAGTTGGGATTAATAGACTAAATAACTAGCTCTCCATATGATTATACATTAGAAGCAGAGTAAAGCAGTAATGAAGCTACGACTATCACAATTCGAAACAAATGATTTTAAGAACGCTATCGTTTAATTCTAGCTATAAAGGTGTTATGAGGGGTTAAATAGTCGAGGTAAAAGCGCCGGAGTTTTCTCATTAGCTATTTCCGAATGTTTCGTAACAACCACACATAAAAACAGAATGGAGCAGTAATGAAGATATGACTATCAGACTTCAGAAAAAATAACTTGTACCTTTTATTTTAGTAATGAAAGGAATTGTGACATGAGGGGTTAAACAGTGAACGTAAGGACAACGGAGGGGCCCATCATGGGGTTAAATCAACAGGTCGCGATCGTCGATTCGAATCTGTTCCACGTACCATTACGAGCAATCGACATCTCGACATCGACAGATCGGTAGACGTGGCTCGATTAGAGTTGGCTCGCGTTTATTAGCACGCAACGAGGCTTTTATCGAGCATGAAAAGGGCCGGAGGTAACTCGATTCGAGCAAAATCGAGATGGGTTGCGGTAATCTGCGCTCGGTCAGCCACGGATTGCGATGGAAGTTCCTCAGGGCGTGGCAGATGCATTATGGATACTGTTTTACCAAGGAACGTAGCACGCATCGCCGCAATGAAACTTTGCCCTTGCGACGTGTAACTCGTGCTTTTATGTTTTCGCTCACGCTTTAGAGATTCGCTCGTGATTGCTGTTAGCGCGAGCCAGCTAACCGTTCGCGTGAATTACCGTAATGCAGCGCTCTATGTCGGGCCAGGTCAATTAGAAGGTTTTTCGTCCGATTTCAGCCAACTTCATGCCCGATTATTCGTACTGAAAGCAAGAGATATCCGGTTTTCACCTGGTCGTATGTAATTTGCGGATATTAACACGTTTACTCTCGTAAGTGTCGATGGTACTTGATTCGAATTTTTACGTAAACGGATCGTCGGTGATAGGAAATGAAAAATGAAGTTTGAAATGATGTTATGGGAATAATGTACGTTGTTAAACGGGAAGATTCAGATGAAATATTAATCGTATCCTTGTGTGGTTGATGCATGTCTTACTACGTACGTATGTTTCTACTGCGGCAGTGAACATGTTGAGATGGAAAATGGTTTCAAAATTTTTAACTAAATTTTAAAAGGTAGTTGAATATTTTTTGAGAGAGAATTAATTAGTTACATTACTGGAGGTAGTTAAATAGTTTACAATTATGAATTGATCAATTAAATTGTAAATGATAATTGAATACTTCTTAATTAAATCTTGAATTAGTAATGAAAAAATTTTCTATCAAATTAATACCAACAGTCAATTTTAATCGAGTGTAGCTGTAATTATCAATTTCAGCATTTAATTAAAGAAATGGTTATCAATTAAATATCTATCAATATTACTACTTACCAATGAAGTAGCTGATCAGTTATTATTTATACAATTATTACACGATTATTTGAACAATTATTAAATAAATATGGCGTGCAATTTCTCCCGGTATATGTATAGCTACTGATTTCCTGTCCATTCACGTACAAGGAAAAATGAAACAAGAGAAGTCGAGAAAAAAGTGTGAAGTCGAAGGAGAAAAATAAAACAGCTTCATCGCAAAAGCAGAATATGAATTATGGATGTAGCTTCTCGCATCTTTATTAAAAAGACAAGTCTGCTCATGCTGGAAAATATGCATAAAATAAATTATATGGTACCTGTGTCGATATTAATAAAAAGATTGTTCGTGGTGAAGCGTGATTTAAACAACCTGGGATTAATTCGGGCGATCTTTTATTCACTTTCGATGAGATAATATTGCAAAATTAAATCGAGAATCTTTCATAAATTATTTTGTTCAATAATTCGAGAGAAAGTGTAACCTATATTGAACAAGACAATGTCCAATAAATTATGAGTATTTTACTGTTTCATAAATACATATTTATGAACGTTATAAACTTGTAACGTTAAAAAGTTTGAAGGAGAGTTAAGGATAAATCATATCTTTAACCTGCTTCATTTACTTCATAAAAATTACAGCAGATAAATTATTTTGTCACGTTACAGAATTTTATATTTTAATAATGTACTGTTCGTATATTTAAATAAAGTAAAAGAAATTTTATTATAGGAGAAAACACGGGAGACATAAATATATTTTCTATGTTTAAATATTTGTTCATCAACAAAAATATATTGTTTGTATTGGAATATACATATTTTAACATTATCTTTTGCAATTCTTTAAATGGCACCCGTTTCTCTTTAGGCGTTCGCTAATCTCCTGTCTTCCGCCATACATTAGTGAACGTATTAACGTTAATCTGTTATCATTATACTGTCCCAAACTAATTAGAAGTCAGAACAGAAAGAAAACGTGTAAAACAAGAAATAGTTGAGGAACCGAGATTCTTGTCTCGCAAAGGGGTCAAGCGTAATTTAAGATAACACGAGTTTTTTTAATGCCTTACCCACGTTCGAGTTGTTAGACGCTTATCAACCTTGTTATCTTCGAGTAATTATCAGGTATCGTTGCATGTCTGCTTACGACTAACACTTCGACGTACATGTGCTTTGAACTTTAATTACCGAAGGTGTTAGATGAGCTTTTAACGATGAACTTACTTCTCTAAACTTTCAACGGATTATTCTTTGTCAATGGAAAATTCTTCTTTGTCGTACTCCTGAATACATTGGAGCATAGGCGCATAAAAAGATTATAAAAATTATAAAAAGAGATTAAAATATTAAAAGAAATGAAATATATTGAATTTCCTATTAGAAATAAATATTTGTGTCATTTTAACTCTGTATTACGTTTCAAATTGGGAAGTTAAACTTCAAACGTTTTATAGTGAATTAAATACAGATTTCAACCCGCGAGTTGACGTGTGATCGACTCAAAGTAAAAGAAGTTCCCTACCGTGATCAGTTCTAGTTACATTTCGGCAAATAAGGATGATAATGACAATAACAACTGCTGAACATAATTCTCACTATCCCACACACTCTCGAGACGTCTGTCGACTGTCATTATTTTTGGCTGAACTGGTGTGCTATAAACAGCAACCATTTTGTCAGAAATAATTTGTAAAAAAATGGTTATGGTAGTAAACTTGATTTACGTATTTAAGAGGAAATGACAACTAGTCATAATGAACTGTACATTGATAAAGTATACCATGTTACTATAACATGAATCATATGTGTTTCTAAGAAAATGGATATCGTATGAGGGATCAATAA